ATTTTGTTCCCCTAAAAAAAAAAAAAAAAGTGTATATATATATATATATATATATATATACATTTTCTTTATGCAAAATAATATTTATTTTTTTATTTGATTTTGGGATGAAATATGACGATGAAATATGGGATGAACTAAAACTATTAAAAAAATCATTTTCTGGAATTAAAATGAAGTTGAAATAAAATTAAATATAAATATTAGATAAAAAATGTAAATGAAATTAAATAACTGAAATAAATATATTAAGCTGAATTACTAAAATCACTAAACCCCGGACAGTGTTGTTAGTGTTAACTAAAACTATTAAAAATTCTCTGGAATTAAAATAAAGTTGAAATAAAATTATATATATAAATGTTAGATGAAAAACTAAAAATACAATTAGAAATGTTGCCTTGACATGAAATAACTGAAATAAATGTTTAAGCTGTATTAATAAAATTACTAAAATTGAAATAAAAAATGACTTATGGCTAAAAAAAAAAAATAAAAAAAAAATGACATAACAAAAGCACAAACATGTAACCAAATCACTAAAACTCGAAAAAAAAAATTTCAAACTTGAAATCTGAAAATAATAAAATAAAAGCAAATTCAAAACATGAATACAATAGTATATAAATAATACTAAAACAACATTGTCCAGACATTTCATTAATCCAGGATCAAAATATTTCAAAGACCTGTGACCTTTTGACCTGGACCAGCAAGAAACCACCTAGCAACTGCCCAGAGCTCCCTAGCAACCACAAAGCAATACAACCTGGTGAAGTGACAGGGAGTTTTGAACGAGCAAGAGCCCCTCGGGAAATGTAAAAATCTGCTTTCCAGTGCTATGCTAATTTTGGCTGTTTTCAAGCATTTTAAGCTGCTTCTACACTCTATTGTATCTTTAATGCTCTGGAGGCATTAGACACGCTCCACTCTAGGCTGCATCTACCATCCGCAGAAGAATAAAACATTCTAAAGCTTTTCGCTTAGAAAACAGCACACCCCACACACCCATCTGTTTTTCCAGCGTGACTACCACAGGCAGAGGCCAGAGACACGTGCTACATATTCATGAGGCTGACACCAGCCATCACTCGCTCATTAGATTATCTTAAAGGTGTCCTAAGGCTGACACCGGGGAATCATAATGGCTCCATTAGGTTACATATGGGCCGTTTGTTGGCCTGTCTGTGCTTTGTCTCCTGACATGCTTTTGTTTATGCGGTTAGATGTTGGCGCTGACTGGGTAATGAATTATTCATAAGCAATCATGATATTCTGCTTTTTATGCAAATGTTGAGGTGGGCACAGGTTTCAACAGTGCCACACACACAAATATGGATGTTCAAGTACACATGCTCTGCCATGCAAATGGATGCATATTGATTTTCTTTCTTTCGCTCTTCATGTTGCATAATTTGCATAACCACTGATCTTCCTGAAACACCTGTAGCATCTTTAATAATGTATGTTTTCCAGACTTTTTTATTGCTTTCCTTGATTATACTGTACAAACACACTTTTGAACTATGAAAGAACTAGGAGTATGTACAACCGTTCATTGTGTTCCAGATGCATCGATTAAAAATCGACCTTTTAATATAACTTCGTAATAATTAATTATTTGTTTTGCTGTAGATTTAAAATGTTAGCATATGAATTAGTCTTATTTTGTTAAAGTAGCAATATACATAAATTAATCATCTGCAAACTTTGCAAATTGCTTTGCTGAGGTGAATTAAACCATTCTGCAAATTAAATTGGAATTGAATTGATTCAGTGACAACCCAAAGATTCATCTACCCCACTTATATATATGATTATTATTATTTATATTAATATAAATATACATTTTTATATAAAATGTAGTATTTCAATGTTAAGTACTATATTTAATATTAATGTTATTTTTTATATTTATTAATTACTATTAAAATAAAATGTGGAAAATTTGTAATAAATAAAGTCAAATAAGTAGTTGTGTCTAACTAGCGTATAATTGTAAATGATAAATGCTTATAGGGTTATCTTTAAAGGTTTATTTCACATTTTCTCTCTCTTTTAATTTTTTAATTTTCAGGTTTTAATATATATTCATATTTATGCATTAAAAGTCATAGCTCATTTTTCATTTAGATTTAAAATGTTATAATTTGAATGAATCATATTTTGTTAAAATAGCAATATGCATAAATAAATCACATGAAAACTGGTGAATTAAGCCGTTCTGAAATTGCAAATCTGTTTTGAATTGATTCACTAAGAATAGTCAGTTGAGTTGATTCATTGTCAACCTAAAGATTCAGCTACCCCACTACCTTACCCATAATCCATCTCTCTTTCTGTTCAGGGACCAACAGGTGAAACAGGACCAATGGGAGAGCGAGGCCACCCTGGACCCCCAGGACCACCTGGTGAACAGGGTCTACCTGGACCTGCAGGAAAAGAGGGAGCAAAGGTGCCAACAAATTCAGGCCATACACACTTCAACATTTACACACAATAAAGTTACATATACACAGATCCAAATACATTCATCTATTCATCAATTCACATCTGGTCTTTATAGGGAGATCCAGGTCCTGCAGGACCTACGGGTAAAGACGGACCTCCAGGACTCAGAGGGTTCCCAGGCGAGAGAGGTTTACCTGGCCCTGTGGTGAGTATCACGAACAAACCCCTAACCCCAAGTATTATACTCTGTGTAACTCACCCTTAAATTCTGCACAGGCGAGCATCTCTCTTTCATGTTTTGAGCTTTTAGTTTGTTGTTCAGTATAAATAGTACATCCCCGTGTCACCTCTAGCCATCAAATGTGTCGTGAAGCAGCACATGGATGTGTTTGTGTGTGTTCAGCAGTTTTTTGTGTGTGTTTGCAGGGGTCAGCAGGTTTGAAAGGGAATGAAGGACCTCCAGGGCCACCTGGACCCGCTGTAAGTAGACATGCTCTCTCATTTTGTCCATCTCTTCTCCAACTGCTTTGAATATTCGCTTGTTTACCTTGTTTTCTCTTTCTCCTTTATCCTTTTGCTCCACACACTGGGTTTTCAGTGAGTACAGTGATTCAGTTTCTCTCTCTCTCTCTCTCTCTCTCTCTCTCTCTCTCTCTCTCTTGTTTTTAGGGTCCTTCCGGAAAGGACGGGCTGCCCGGACACCCTGGCCAGAGAGGAGAGACTGTGAGTGGCGTCTGATATGGACACGCACACTTTTATTCACACACTTGTGCTTAAAAAACTCACTTGTATTTTCTTCTGGCAGGGTTTCCAAGGTAAAACTGGACCTCCCGGACCCCCAGGTGTAGTCGGACCTCAGGTAAATGGAACACAGAATGCTGAAGTTCAAATGTTCAAATTTTCAAAATGATTCTAGAATTACACACTAAATAGTGCCTCTAGTAAGATTCCAATAAAATGGGTTTGCAAAATGGACGAAAAACCTGAGGGTGAACCTCATGAATAATATCATGAAATGTTTGGCCCATTAAAAAAAAAAAAAAAAGTGTATGAAGCAGCACATGGATGTGTTTGTGTGTGTTCAGCAGTTTTTTGTGTGTGTTTGCAGGGGTCAGCAGGTTTGAAAGGGAATGAAGGACCTCCAGGGCCACCTGGACCCGCTGTAAGTAGACATGCTCTCTCATTTTGTCCATCTCTTCTCCAACTGCTTTGAATATTCGCTTGTTTACCTTGTTTTCTCTTTCTCCTTTATCCTTTTGCTCCACACACTGGGTTTTCAGTGAGTACAGTGATTTAGTCCGTATGACATGGATGATTTACAGTATATCTACAGTACCAGGCAAACATTAGGACTTACTTTTTTATATATGTGCTGGAAATTAGTTTTGTATACTATTTAATTCATGTTTTAGAGTGGATAGTGCAGAAAAAGCATCAACAAGTGTTCAACATACACTACCATTCAAAAGTTTGAGGTCAATAAGAAAATAACAGCAAGGATGCATTAAATACATCAAAAGTGACAGCAAGGACATTCATAGTGTTACAAAAGATTACTATTTCAAACAAACACTGCATTTTTGAAACGTTCCATTCATCAAACAATTGTTAAAGGAATATATTGCAACAGAAAGCACTTAGTTCATTTCATAATATTACTGTTTTACTGTATTTTTGATCGAATAAATAATGCTTTGTAAAATGAATAAATAAATAAAGCAATGTCTTATTTCAAAACCATTACAAAATCTTACTAACCTTAAACTTTTGAATGGTAGTGTACATGTGAACATCTTAAACAGTGTTATTAATGAGTGTGATTGAAAGAAGACGCTCAAATATGAATATTTATATTAAATATTAAATACTAAATTAGTTAATATATTCAATATTCAATATTTTAATATATAATAATGAATGTGGCAAATAGTAATAAATAAAGGAAAAAATCTAAGTCAGACTAGTACATGTTTATGATTAAAAACGATCAAAAGGTTTATCTGTTCATCTTTTCTCTCTCTTTTCATGCAGTCTTGACACCAGGATTTTGAATATTCAGATTTACTGATATCTTATATAATGTCGCAATATGCGTAATTATATAATCAGGAACTTGAAAACACAGCATTTATTTCTGCATTAAAAATCATATATGCATGCCGGCTGTCAACGCCTCCATATGAATTTTTTTCAAGAACAAATGCATAATTAATCAAACAGATCATCAAGCTTTCATTAGCAAATGGCAGTCGTTGCAAGTATATGAGTTATGAAATTTCATATTCACAAATTCATAGGGTTCTCCTGGTGAACGTGGTCCTGCTGGCTCAGCTGGACCTACCGGCCTCCCGGGCCGACCCGGACCTCAAGGACCCCCGGGCCCCGCTGGAGAGAAAGGTGGACCTGTGAGTACTTCCTCAAACACGCTCCGTCTTCATTTCTGAGCGTCATTTCACTGTCAAATGATTCAATAACTAAGAGTATATCCTCTTATATTAGGGCGAGAAAGGACCTCAAGGCCCAGCTGGTAGAGACGGTATTCAGGGACCTGTGGGACTTCCAGGCCCGGCCGGACCCATCGGACCCCCGGGAGAGGACGGTGATAAGGTACAGAAGAAAAAGAAGTGATAGAAGAAGCTTTGAGAAGTGAAATGAATGAATTAAAGACAGAGAGATGTGGGCATGAAATTGATGATCATGGATGAATCTGATGGGTTTGATAGATGATTAAGTGAAGGTCACATCACACACACACACACACACACACACACACACACATAGATCAAATTACTCCACTGTCTGATCAATATTTTCTTTAGAGGAATGGATGGATGGTTCAATATTTGCTCTGCACATGGCCAATTATTTGAGAATCAAAAGAAGCTTAGATTATAAATACTAGGGTTTTTTCATTTTAAATTAATATTTAATCGCGATTAAACTCATAAGTTAGCATGTTAATACATTTATTTCCTTAAATACCAGGTGTTTTCTGTATTTGTGTATGGTTTGTGTTTATTAGAGTATCAAACCGTTAGATTAGCAACATAGCAATGTCACATTCAAATAAGAAATATATGTGATACTGAAGTGTACATGATATTACAGTGCAGGGAATCAAATATGCAGTTAGTCTTATTGGAAAGGATCTCATTTAACACTTAGGTGAACGTGTCAGGGACATCACCATGACACGCTCACACACACCTACACATACAGATTTAGGGTGTTTGTGACACCAACATGTGTTAGCATTGGCAGTTTTAAGGTGTGAGCAATATTTGAAGGATGTACGTGTGACAGGTGCAAAGCCTTCTGGGAAATATAGTATAGTAGAGTATTATTGCTTACCCTGGCAATACCATGTTTTTTAGGCATGTACCATGTTAATGCCATGTTTTTATTTCAGCATATACAATGGTAATATCATTGTATTATTTGATTTTCCTTGGAGTTTCGTGTAAATACCATATGGATATGAATGCATTACTGTTCAAAATGTATACTTTTATTCTAAAAGGTTGTATTAAATTGATCAGAAATGACAGTAAAGACATTTATGATGTCACAAAAAAATTCTGTTTCAAATCAATTCTGTTCTTTTGAACTTTGTTAATCAAAGAATCCTAAAAAATCACGATATCAATAAAAATGAAGCAACACAGCTCTTTTTAACATTGATAATAATAGAAATGTTTCTTGAGCAGCAAATCAGCATATTAGAATGATTTCTGAAGGATCATGTGACACTGAAAACTGGAGTAATGATGCTTTGCATAACAAAAATAAATTACATTTTAAAATATATTCAAATAGAAAACAGCTATTTAAAATTGCAATAATATTTCACAATTTTACTGTTTGTTTTTGATCAAATAAATGCAGCCTTGGTGAGCAGAAGCGATTTTTGTCCCAAAAAAACAGATACTGGATTTGTATCATTTGTATTATTGTATCATGTGACATTTTTATATATTTGCTAGATATTATTTGAGATATCAGATATTTGCACATGTAAATGCTGTGTTATTGTGACAGGGCGAGCTTGGAGAGCCAGGACAGAAGGGAAGCAAAGGTGACAAGGGCGAGCATGTGAGTCACTCTGAATTTACTGTTTCCATTTCCATTTCCCTTGAGTCTGAAAACATCATTTATTCAATGAGTCCTGTTTGTTTGTGTCGTTCTCCCACAATGATCATTCGTTCTGTTATTACCACTGTGCCGTTATGAATGTAGATGTTGTCTTTGTTAAGAAAATCAATGAGTTGTGCGTGCTTGCTTTTTCTTTCTTCTCATTTATTTTTTCTCCTTCTTTCTGCCGTTCTTCAGGGTCCTCCAGGGCCAGTCGGTAGCCAAGGTCCTCCAGGTCAGCCGGGTCCACCTGTGAGTATATAATGAAGTCAGCCATTTCTTACATGCCGTGTGTCTTGCTGCGGTATAAGCGGTGTTAGTGATGTCACTTCCTCCCTGCAGGGTGCTGATGGAGAGCCAGGTCCCAGAGGTCAGCAGGGTCTGTTTGGGCAGAAGGGAGATGAGGGTTCACGAGGCTTCCCAGGACCACCAGGACCTGTCGGCCTTCAGGTTAGAACTTCAAAGTTTGCTTTCTGCTTGTTTAAAACACTGTTATTTTAGTATATTTGATGTCATAGTTTGATATCATAGTTTTTTATTAATTGATTAATTTTGTTTATTAATTGATTAAATTGATTTAGATGTTATCCTTTTATTTACAACTCATATTTAAATTTATTTTAATTGTAAGTTTTTTATTGGAATCCTTATATTTACCACTTTTATTTTGACTAATTTTCATAGAATAATATTTTAATCATTCAGCTGTTTTTATCATTTTTATTAGTTCTTTAATGCCTATGTATTTTTTTTATACATTTTTATTTCAGTTTTTTTTTTTTATTTTAGTACTTCAAATTAAACTAAACAAAAATTTCATTTAGATTTTATTCTTATTTTTTACCTCTTTTATTTTAGTTAACGTTTTTATTTATTTATATTTTTATTTATAAAATTATATTTATATGTCTATATAGTTTTTATTAATTTTTATTTCAGTTTTAATTTTAGATATTTTAGTACTTAAGTTAAACTAAGTTAAACTACTGTTGCCTTGGCAACTAGCTGATAAAAAATATGTTTAAGGCTTTTTTATATTAAGGCCTTTTTATATTTGTTTTTCAGTTAACATTTTTAAATAGTTTTTTTTTATGTGATGAGAGTTTTTGTTAATTTTATTTCAGTTTTAGTTATTTTAGTACTTCAATTTAAACTAGACAAAAATGTGAAATATTGCCTTGGCAACTAGTTGAAATAAAATAAGATTGTCTTTTTTATATTTTATTTTATTTTATTTTATTTTATTTCAGTTAACGTTAATTTTATTTCAAGTAATGGAAATGTTTTTATAGACTGGAGAAATTATGCTGAAAAATTCAGCTTTGCATCACAGGAATAAATTACAATTTGGAAATATATTCAAATAGCAAACAGTTATTTTAAAATGTAATCATATTTCACAATTTTACTGTTTTTACTGTATCTTTGATCAAATAAATGCAACCATGGTCAGCATAAGAGACTTTTTCAAAAACATTAAAAACTCTTACTGACCCTGAACTTGTGCATGGAATTGTATGTGAATATGATAATCATTAAATACCATGATATCACCATCTAAAACCGTTATTGCACCATAATCCACAATATAATATATACTTTTTTAATTCATCAGCAAATTGATTCCAGATGGATAAAAGTCTCACCTTGGAAATATGTCAGATTGTGGAAGTAAAATGGACTGCAAATAGCATTTAATGTGGACTGTATGTAGTTTGGACAGGATTTAACGGGTTAGTTTGAGCTGTGGTTGGTTTTAACTAGGTGTGTTTGTGTGCAGGGTTTGCCTGGACCCCCGGGTGAGAAGGGAGAGACTGGTGACGTCGGTCAGATGGTACACATCCACATCCATACAGTCATTTTGATCAAATGTAATTGTATTTTAATAGAAACTGAGCTTTTTTTCTACATTTTCTTGACTTTTCTCTCAGGGTCCACCCGGTCCTCCTGGCCCCAGAGGCCCCTCCGGACCCCCAGGAGCCGATGGACCACAGGGACCCCCGGGAGGAATCGGCAACCCAGGAGCCGTGGGAGAGAAGGTGATCCGCATCAGCACCATGAACAAAACACTATCATTTCATTTTAATTAGAAACCAACGTCCTTAATGATCTGAGGGAGAATGTGCCAGTAATGATCTCAGTGTGTGTGTGTGTGTGTGTGTGTGTGTGTGTGTGCGCGCTCAGTCAGTTCAGGATCTGCGTGTGTCTCGTGACTGAGGTTTCCTGGAGCTTCTCTCTAGAGTTAAAGCTCTATATGTGTTTGCTTGTGTGTCTGTGAGTGTTTTTGTAAGTTAAATACTTCTCAGTTTAATTAGCAGACTGTAAGTAAGCCATTGATTGATTATTATCCTCAAAAAGTGTAACACAGTGTCTCTGATGTTTGGTTTGAGCTTCACGACCAGCAGCATTAGCCTAACCAGAGTTATGAGGACAGACAGCTTTGTTCATTCTAATTAAAATGATTTCATTTCATTTAATGAGTAAGCAATGACTGTACACCATTTGGATGTCAGTAGATTTGGTAATTCTAATTAGAGTGCTTTGCAGTAATAATATTACATTTGTATATATAGTTTATTATAATATTTTTTAAGTAGTGACTATACAACTAGTAAATGTATCAATAGCTTTGTTTATTCTAATTAATTTATTAATAATAAATTTATATGTAGTATATAATGATGATATTATTAATAATAATAATTTTAAATAGTGACTATACAACAAGTAAATGTATCAATAGCTTTGTTAATTCTAATTAGAGTGATTTATTGTTATTAATAATAATATAATAATAATAATACTTTTTAAAGCATTTTTAAGCATGTATACTATAAACAGTGTAGATGTATCAATAGCTTTGTTAATTCTTATTAGAGTGATTTAATAATAATAATAATAACAACAAGAATAATTTTAAGTAGTAACTATACAACAAGTACATGTATCAATAGCTTTGTTAATTCTAATGAGTGATTTATTATTATTAATAAAAATAAATCTGTATATATAGCATATAATAATTATACAAATGTATTTTAATTTAATTAGTAAGCAATGACTAAATGAGCAAATGTATCAGTAATTTTGTTAGTTGCAATTAATGATTTATTATTATTATTAATAATAATAGTAACAAGAAGAAGAATTTAATGTAATTCTAAGCAAATACTATAAACTGTGTATATGCATCAATAGCTTTGTTAATTCTTATCTGAATGATTTAATAATAATAATAATATAGCTGAAAATGAATTATGTTGTTTTTCTGACGTTTGTCATGAAAAATAGACATTTTTTACAAAATAATGCAACATAATTAAAAATGCAAAATGTTAAGAGATATTAATAGTCAGTGAGTTTCTCGGTTTATTCGCCTTTAGCAGATGTGTGAAGTTCATTTTAAACTGTGACAAGATTTTTTAAAATGTGCATTAAACATGCTTTACTTGCAAAATTCAACAAGTAACACATTGCTTTACTTCATGCTTTACCTTCAGTGCAGTAATCTTGAGTTTTTTTCTCTGGAGTGTGTGTGTGTGTGTGACTGACTGAGCTGTGAGTGTCTGTATCTTTGTGTAAGTCTCAGCAGAGCGTGCGCTCGCATGACTGCGCTCCATCACCTCAGCACCGGCCACTGTCAATATTATTTAATACGGCGCTTCAACACTATTGTTCTGCATCGGAACCAAGGACCCGTTTCAGTTGTGCTTAGAGAGGAATTTTGCCCAGAGAAACACAGACGAGGGGAGGACTTAAAGAAAACAGATAAAGATGATAGAATGAGACCTGGAGACAAGGCTGTTTGCTGTTAGTCTGGAAGATTTACCTCAGCACTTCATTCTGACAGACCTCTTATCCCACTACAGAGAGACAGAGATACCTCCGTCTGACACACACACACACACACACACACACACACACGACTGAAGCAGTTCAGAGCGGCTGAGAGACTCTTAATCCCTCAATATGGCAGATGTGCAGAAGTATCCACACACACACACACACATACACTTAAACAGCCTCTAAGAGCACAGAAAATAACTCATAAACATGTTTATAAGCACGAGAGAAAGCGCAGGGTGAGGATGGACGATATTGAATGTTTAGTCACAAACTGATTGATTTAATAGTGTTTTATTAGTGGTTTGCTAAGGGAAGCGTCACTATTATTCCTTTTTGAATCAATAGCAGTTGATATTGGGATATTTGCATGCTCATTTTGATTACCTTTGCCATCATCTCACTTAAAGTTAATCTTTGAAAGCACTAATAATTTAATAAAACTTTAAAAGCACAATTTAATGACACTATAATTTCTAACTGCATTATAATGTTGTGATGCGTAAATTCACTTGTTGCATAAAACAATTGTTTTTATTTATTTTTTAGATGAAATACTATTGAATTGTAATTATGGTAATTTATTTATTTATTTATTTACATGTTGGTTTTTATTGTTTCTTTTTCAATTCTTTTTATCAGACAAGATAGTAGAGAATTCTAATTTCATCTACTTATTTATTTATTTTATATTTTTGTTCAGACAAAATAGTACAGAATTGATTCATTTTAAACTTTTTTATTTAGACAAAATAGTATACAATTTTAATTTCAGCCATTTACTGGCTATCAGTCATTGCATGAAAATAATGATTGAAATGAAGCAAAATAGAACAATAAAATGGTTTATTTATTTATTTTTTATTTAGACTTTTAATTTTAGCCATTTATTTACTTAGTTCTTTATTTGTATTTGTTATTTAGGCAAAATAGAATAGAAATTTAATTTTGGCCATTTATTTATTTAATTAGTATTACATAAGTATTAAATTATATAATAAATAAATAATGCCGGTGCCTATAGCCTTGTGGGCTTTAATTTAATTAATTTTTATTTTACATTTTTTATTTAGAATATTTGTTTAATTTTGACCATTTATTTAATAATTTAATTTATTATTTAGTAATTTAATTTCAATCTGTTTATTTTTAAAATTTACAATAAATAATATAGAATTTTATTTTCAGCCAATTATTGGGAATCAGTCATAATATAATTTGCATTAAAAAAATCGCATTGATATACATGGACCAGAATATTATAGAAACCTGTGGATGGGCTCTTTTGACTTATGCTAAACAATAATGCTAAACAACCACCAACAACTCTGGAGCATAATGACAGCTAGTTTTTCATGAGCATCACTCACTTCCTCAGAAAACGGCAAAGTCTAGTTCATTTTTGAAGTGTCATCACTCCGATTCAGAAGTGTCTGGATACATATAATGATTTCCATTCTCGACTGACGTCTGATGGAACTGGTCGTCATCAAGGTCGTTTGTTGGTCTGAATATTGATGTTGCGCAGATTTTGATGCTAGAATGTGGCGTTCTGCAGAGGAAAGCAGATTTGCTGACGAGACTGTGAATAATGATGCTGATGTGCTCTTCTGTCCGGTGGACAAAATCTCTGCAGTGTTGAGGAGAAAAAAGAGCCCTGCCATGCTTTACTTACATCTCTCTCTGTTTTTCTGTAGGGAGACGCCGGTGAACTAGGAGAACCAGGCCCACAGGGAGACGTCGGCCCTCCAGTATGGCAAAAAAAACAAACTCACATATGCAAAACTCTAAAACATCAAAAAAAAAGCTGAAAGTCTCAAAATAACACACTCATATCTAATATCTCGTGTGTGTGTGTTTAGGGTCCAAGAGGAGAGCGAGGAGAAAAGGGAGAAGCCGGACCCGCTGGTTCTGCTGGGCCCCCCGGACCAAAAGGACCACCAGGAGATGATGGTCCTAAAGGAAGCCCTGTATGTTCTTATCATTAATGCTTTATTTGGTGTTTGAAAAATAAAGCTTCCAAAAGGAGGTTTTTGCAACAATGCCATAGAAGAACCATATTTAACCAGCAAAGGTAACCTTTCAGTGATCTTTGCCGTCATCTAATGCGCACTCAAAGTTAATCTGTACAAACACTAATAATTTGATAACACTGTTAAATGTAAATTTGGCAAACCTCATAGTTAACATTTCATACTTTATCATACATTATAATGTTACGATGCGTAAATTCACGTAGTTGTTTTATGTATTTATTTTGCTATTTTTTAATTAGACAGAAGAATATAGAATTAAAATTTTGGCCATTTATTTACTTATTATTTTTTTATTTAGACAAAATAGCATATAACAGAGGTGCCCAAACGTTTAATATTGTACTATATCTTATTTATCTATCCTCTTTATTATTCTTACAATAAACGTACCTTGCCTAATGAGGCCAAAAAGCAAACTTGATTGAAGGCTGTGGGCCAAAAATAAACACTGCATTATATCCAACAATATACAGTATACTGTATTAAAATTTATGATTTTTTTTTTTTTTAAATAAAGTTTGAAACGTTTAAAATGTTTAAAAACCAGATTTATTTACATTATTTTTACATCAGCACAAAAATAAAGTTCAAACTAAAATATGAATAAGAAATTAAGATATACTTTAATGTTTTCTAAAACCTTTATTTTTGAGAGTGTATTATAGGTTCTGCATGCTAATTGGTCAATAAGCATAGCTTGTCGTACCTTACTCTGTATGCTTATGAGACCTTGCAGTTACCATGTTTCTGATCAAATATAAAAATGTTCAAATATTTGGTTTGGTTTTCAGGGTCCAAGTGGTTTCCCTGGTGATCCTGGTCCTCCTGGAGAGCCTGGTCCACATGTAAGTACTATTCATGCAAACTGTAGTTATTACAGAGCCATTTTCAGGTTGTTTCGGGAAGTGACATTCTTTTTCTTGCTCTACAGGGTTTGGATGGTGCTCCTGGAGATAAGGGTGATGATGGTGAGCCTGGTCAGGCGGTGAGTATGATTTAAACTATCATTTGACATCTCTGGTCTCGGCTGTTTTATAATGTTTGCTGCTTTTATAATGTTGTTCCTTTCAGGGATCCCCTGGACCTACTGGTGAAACTGGCCCCACTGGACCTCCAGGAAAGAGAGTGAGTAATGCTTATAAACATACTTTTTATTAAAAATATTTATCAAAAATATTGCTTACTGTCCATTAACATGAATAATTTTAAAGTAAATATACCCATATACAGTATGGCTCTCAATTTTCATTCTTTCTCTTTAGGGACCTCATGGACCTGCTGGACCTGAAGGAAGACAGGGAGAGAAGGGTGCCAAGGTAACATGCAAATGTTCACACAGTCGTACACACGTTCATTAACTTTACAGTACAGCTACAAATTTATTACGGCAGTGGTTTCAGTGGTTGTGTCTCTGAATCAGGGTGAGTCTGGTCTGCTGGGTCCACCTGGTAAGACAGGTCCAGTTGGTCCTCAGGGAAGCCCTGGAAAGCCCGGTCCTGAGGGTCTGAGAGGTGTGCCTGGACCAGTGGTGAGTGCTGATGGAGCAGCCTGACAGCCTTATACAGCTCATTATGTCCTAATGTCACATTATATGCCAAATGTATTTGACAGTCTCACAAAGCCTGTATATAACCTACCCAGATCATATTTCACTACAGAATAAAACAAATTTAAATCGAAATATAGAATTTGGAGCCAAAAATTTAAGATTTTCATTTTAAGATTAAAAAATTACTTTCTTACGTCTAGAATGCGACAAAGATTACTTATTGTAAAAAAATACTTTTATTTTAAGAAAAAATAACTTTCTTCTAGAATGCGACAAAAATTACTTATTTAAATTATTATTAGTAATTCACTATTTTAATAAATGTAATTTTTTTTTTAAAGTTTTTTTTACTAGTTTAAATTACAAATAAAGTACCATTAGTATTTGTATTAGTACTACAACATAGTATTAATGAATGAAACCATGAAGATTTTTATTTTAAGGTCAATTAATTAGTATTGTAGCATTTATTTATTTTTTAAAGATTTTTATTTTAAGATCAATGAAGCAATTTTATATATGCAAATCAAGAAATTGGAGCTGCAGATTAGATTCTAAAGGTTTAAAAAAAAAAAAAAATTCTGCAAATTTCTGCAATGCAAAAAATGTGTATTTAAATTGTGTTTTATTAATGATTAAAACCTATTTCATAACATAAAAATACCAATTATATATTATGCTCCAAAATGTCTTTATCATGCCAAAATTATAATATATCTAAAATAATTTATGCATTTGTGTGTGTGTATATATATATATATATATATACTGTATATATTAATTGTACAGTATAAAGTAAAGTATATATACACATCCTAGTATGTTAATTCATGCTGCTTTAAAAACAAAAAAGCCACAGTGCAAAAATCTTTTGGTACCTTCATTCATAATCTATAATAGAATACTATAATAAAACATATTACTATAACGAAAATACAATTTATTTTGGTTGAAATAAGAATTATAGTAAAAATCACCCTTTCAACCCACAGAATATAACACCAGACCTCATATACAGTTCTGTCTAAGGCAGTGATTTTGTGTTAATAAATGGATCTGTTTGATCCTGATGTAGGGAGAACAAGGACTGCCCGGTGCTCCCGGACCCGATGGACCTCCTGGACCGATGGTACAGACGTGATATTCCTCTGAGAATGAGTTCATTACTGTCTTAAATGACAATCTACAGTCCTCACTCTTCTTATGTTTCTCTCTCAGGGTCCTCCTGGACTGCCTGGACTGAAGGGAGATACTGGTATTAAAGGTGAAAAGGTGAGAGAAGCAAATCCATCTTTGATACTCTTAATTAACTGCACTATGACTTAATGCTCTGGTCTAGGTAGGTGACACTCTAGTGTTTGGAACACAGCTGTAGTAATGACTTTACATGTCCAGTACATTCATTGAACTCTGGCTGGCATTGCTGCGTATGAAGGAGTATGTTCATTACAGATGTGTTTAGTAATCTAGCGGCGAATTTCAGGGTCATCCTGGTCTCATTGGACTCATCGGACCTCCAGGAGAACAAGGAGAGAAGGGAGACAGAGGGTTGCCAGGTCCACAGGGAACTGCAGGACTTAAAGGAGACACTGTATGGAAACATGTTCACACACATACAGCAATAAAAACCTAGTATAAACTTTCTAAATCCTTTGTATTTTCATAAAGTCTTCAATATCGGCCTTTTTCTACAGGGTATTTCAGGACCTGCTGGACCTCTTGGACCCATTGGACCTCCTGGTCTCCCGGTACCATTTCGGATGTTTTTTTTAAATCCTTTATTATGTATACTTAGATAAATAAGTTCTTCAGTGGTGCAGCAAAGAACTTTTTTCTTATCAAGAACCATTTATTGCCTGTATAAGGTACTTCAGTTGCAATGTGGTTCTTTGGGTTCTTTGAATCAGTATTATATTCTACATGATTTTCTAAAAAAAAAAAAAAAAAAGATATAAAATGTATGATTCAGAGCGTGGTCACGCTGGAGGCGTTCCCGTAGCGTTTCGACGCAGCGTCTCGTTCCCTTCGGGGAACCATGGTTACATACGTAACCTGGAGACGATTTCTGTTATGTGTTCGACAGGTGGAGTTTCATAGCTCATGAATGACAGAAGTGTCAAACGTTCTGCGGCTGAACGACTCTTTATTGGTTTTATCTCAACTTCCCTGCTGTTCATTAGTCTGTAATGAGCGGCAGGGGGTTACCTCTTCCTCCAGCCTGCGGTCACAATAACAGGCTTCAGCCTACAATTACATAGTCAGTGTCAATCTTGAGGGAAAACATTGCGTCGAATGAGAATTGGATTAGAGTTTATAGGTACAATAGGCATTTTGATGATTTTTCTGTCTACTGTATACTAGAAAATGATTTTCACAATGCAGTTTAACATCTAATCTAAACTGAATGTAAATTTAAACTAGAAACGAATTATATATATATATATATATATATATATAATAAAAAGGTTCTCCATATTTTTGGTTCTAATTATAACCTTTATTGTTTTTAGAGGATATTATATATAAATGTAATTCATAATGATTTATATGTATGTTTCACTTCTGTTCAGGGTCCTCCTGGTCCTAAAGGTGCTAAAGGATCATCTGTAAGTTCATGTTCTTATTTAATTATTCTTGTTAATTTAATTAGCATTTTAATTAGCAGATTAATTTATAATTTTTTAAATAGCTCTGATTTGCCTAAGCCTACTTCTGGTTCTGTCTTTATAGGGTCAGACTGGACCGAAGGGAGAAACTGGAGTGCCAGGATCTCCTGGACCTCCAGTATGTAACTACACTAAACCGAACTATAAAACAAACCAAAACTCCACACACAAACGAGTTATTCCTCTGTGAGATAAGCGCATATTTAAACTTCTGCAGTAGATGTTACGTAAGTGTAATTGAGCTCTATTATGTGGTGTAAAGCAAATCTGTTACAGTAAGGTTCCTCTGAGAGCTCCAGTGGATTTTGCTTCCTTGAGAAACCCTGATATTTCACACCTACAGACTGTGTCGGTTGCTGTTTCCACACTGAGTAACTCAGCCTTAGGACACAGAGAGAAATGCAAGTGTTTAGTTAATGTCAGTGTAAAGGTCTAATTGTTTAGATGGATAATCCTAGATACGGTTATTTTTCAGGTCTATTACAGTAGTTTTTATTACAGAGCTTTTTTATGCCACTTTTATTTATAGAGTGAGACATAGAACAGGAAACAATTATAAGCATTGAGAATGTAGTGCCCTAACAACCACTCACAACACCCTAGCAACCACTTGAAAATCATAGTAATTGTCTGAATTTTGTAAGGCCAAGCAACACTCTTTTCCAACAATTTAGTGACTCCCTAGCAACACTCTAAAAAAAACCTAAACCCTAACAGCCACTCAAATTATCTTAGCAACTGCCTAAAAACCACCCAGAGCATACTATCAACACATTAGCAACCTCCTAAAAAAACTCCAACAGCCACTCAGAACACCTTAGCAACTGCTTATCAACACACTATTATTCCTAGTAGGCTACACTCACATTTTCCAATTATACAGTAACAACCTAGCAACTGCCTAACAACACCTTAACAACCACCCATAACATCCTATCAACACCCTAGCAACCACTTAAAAACCAACAGCCACTCAGAACACCTTAGCAACTGCTTAACAACACCCTAACAACCACCCAAAACATCCTATCTACACCCTAGCATCTACCTAAAAACCCCAACAGCCAATTAGAACACCTTAGCAACTGCTTAACAACACCCTAGTAACCACCCAAATGTTGTGACATAGTTTGCATGGCAAAGCTACACTTACATTTTCCAATTATTTATTAACAGCCTAGCAACTGCCTAACAGCCACCTAAAACATCCTATTTACACCCTAGCAACCACCTAAAAACAAACAAACAGCTATTTAGAACATCTTAGCAACTGCCTAACAACACCCTAGTAACCACCCAAATGTTGTGACAGAGGTTGAATGGCCAAGCTGCACTCACATTTTCCAATTTTTTAGTAACAGCCTAGCAACCTCCTTACAACACTCAGAGTCACTCAGAACACCTTAGCAACTGCTTAACAACACCCTAACAACCACCCAAACATTTTGATGGTGAATTTTGCATAAGCTAACATGTGCTCTAAATAACGCACTTTATGTGAATATTAATGGTTGTTTTCTCGTCTAGGGTCCACCTGGTGATGTCATCCACCCTCTGCCCATCCAGTCCAGCCCCAAACGGGCAAAGAGGAACATTGACGCCAGCCAGATGATGGATGACGCTGCAGATGCCAACTACAAAGACTATGAGGACGGCATGGAGGAGATATTTGGCTCTCTGAACTCGCTCAAACTAGAGATTGAACAGATGAAACACCCGCTGGGCACACAGAGTAACCCCGCCCGCACCTGCAAAGACCTGCAGCTGTGCCACCCAGATTTCCCAGATGGTGTGTATCTCTCGCACACACACACATTTCCAAGTGTGTTAATGATTGTTTTAAACAAAGCATCAGGAAAAACAACAATAACAAAGAGAGACAGAGGGTGCCCATGATGCTAATGAAAATAACAAAGAGAAAATGTGAACCACCCACAACACCCTAGTTACAGCCTATCAAATAACTAGAACACATTAGTAACCAAACCACATCCTAGCAACCACTATGACATTAAGGTCATGCATTGTGCATGGCCAAGCACTACTCATGTTTTCCAATAGCGGCTTAGCAACCTTCTTTAAACCACCTAGAACATTCTTGTAGCCGCTCAGAACACAGTTAGAAACTGCCTAACAACACCCTAGTAACCATCCAAACATTTAGGTGGCAAGTTTTGCAGTTTACAGTAGTAATGGCCTGGCAACCACTTTGCAACACTCTAGCAACTATCCAAAATGTTCACCCAACACCCAAAGTCGTGATGCAAATAAAAATAAAATAAAATAAACCTAGCAATATAGATGTAATAACAAAATGTAATACATTTAAAACAATGCATTTAATTAAAATGAAGGATACAAAGCAGCAGAAAATTTTCGGTAAGTTTGCAAAAGTTTCCAAAAATGTTCCAAAAAAGTTTTCAAACAAATTCTCAAAAGTTTACAAAAATTCTGTAATGCCATACTTTTTCTGCCTCTTTGCAACTCTAATTAAGATTTGTCTAAGAATTATCTTAATTTGAAGGCTTTAACTGAATGCATAGTGACATACACAATTAATTACAATTAATGATTAAGTGCCAAATCGCATAATTAAAATAATCTGATTTTCAGCCCTGTATTAAATGATTCTCATTTGAAAATATCAGCAATACATAAAGCTTACGATGGCCCTTGTTTCTGTTTTCAGGTGAATACTGGATTGATCCGAACCAGGGCTGCTCCAGAGACTCTTTCAAAGTGTACTGTAACTTCACAGCAGGTGGAGAGAGCTGCATCTTCCCCGATAAAAAGAGTGAAGGGGTAAGAAATGTTCTCCTGACAGCCACAAAGCAGAACACTCTGGGACGGCTTCCCACAAGTCCACATCAGGAGTAAAACAGCTTTGATGTCAGAATCACTAAGCACAACACCACTTTAAAAAGCATCACTTATCAAAATGAAGACAAACACACACTAGATTCATCTCACAGTTAGTAGTCCACGGATTCCTGAAAAACCTCCAGAGAGAAATTGTTCAGCTTAACATGCGGAGAGGAATAGAGGTACAGTCTGTTCAATAGGTCACATCTGATTTAGAGGGTTTGTCCACTGAAAATCTATGGGAAGACATACCCTGCACAATGACATTGAATGACCTGTACTTCCTTTCACATTAACCTGAATAAGGTCTATACCAGCTATTCAACTGTTCAAAAGCCCCATTCCTTAATATAATGAGGGTTCTTGTATCCTAGTCTTTAATGATGTTTGTGTATTAGATTCTGCACACAAGTGTGACGAGTTATTTGCCTTAATGAGTCTCAGAAGCGTCACTGATGGAGAATCACTCAGTGGGGTGTGAAGGTGACTCTCAGCACTAAATTCAGTTCTTCCACAGGTTCACTCTTCACACCAGCAGATGCAGACAACAACAAACAAACCAAAAACCTCCTCAGGCTTATTCTCACCTCGCACAAATATTTACCAGGGCAAGCTTTAAATTCAAACCAACTCTTGCATCCCGTCGGACTGCTCCGGATGCAAAAGAATAACTCGAAAATGGTTTTTGTTGGTCAAATTTGAGTTCTAGGGTTTTTTGTTGACTCATGATGAAAGCAAAATCTGTATTATAAAAACGGAAATATTTAATTATATTACTGTTATATCATTACTTTTTTATTATTATTATAGGGATTTTTAAAACTACTTTTTAGGTTTTCAAGTGGCACTTTTGTAGTTCGCACAAAAAAATTAATTATGTGAAAATGATACTATTCATTTTATATCAATTTTGTAAACCTTTTTAGAATATATAGGGACTTAGTTTGCTCAGCAAAAAAAAAAAAGATTAAATATTATTATATATTTAATTAAAATTAGATTTGATTATTGTTATAAATTGTATAATAGTTGTGTAAAGCTCACTTTCATTGTATTTTGTTAATTGTAGGGCTGTAGGTTTAATCTGTTCATTTATGACGTCCATTTGTATGTATACAGCTATTCAAACATTGTGCAAACTGTCTGCAAGAACATGTCTAATGTGAAAGCCTCTGCCTTGGACAGATTGACAACTACACTGCAAAACATATCAAAATAATTCCCACAGGCTACCTGTTACTTCCTGTCTGTCTGCAGTATTGACTCTAGCTGACTCTCTCTCCCTCAGGCCAGACTCACCTCTTGGGTGAAGGAGAATCCAGGATCGTGGTTCAGTGAATTCAAACGTGGTAAACTGGTAAGAGTGACTCCTCTTTCTTGTCCTCCTGAAATAGTCTTCTATTTTACAGAGCAAAATGGCTCGCTGGCCCAAAGACAGTCCAGGCACATGGTATAGTCGCTACAAGAGAGGGTCCATGGTAAGTAGGAATGCATGAGAGAACGGGCCGGTACTGAGGGTCCGCGGATCCTCAGTGTTTCCGGACAATCGGTCTCTAAGCGGCCCGTGCTTCTGCATGCTTCTCGGATCCCTTCGTGGCCGAGCATGGTCATCATCAGAACGGCAGCAAAAAGTGTTTGCTCATACTTATGGGTAATCTGAGGACTGTGGGCGGAGACTGTTGCACTAGCAAAAAGACTCAAGAATGTGATTGACATAAACCCGATTTACCCTAGAATTTGTAGATTTGTTAATGTGAAAGGTCTGACTGATGGAATCCAACCCGTCTTCTGTTCCTGTAAGCTTGAGGAAATCACCTTGAAGTGACTGAGTCAGCTAACACGTGATTGTCGCTCTGCTCCAAATGCTAGTGAGATGCAAAAGGTGTATCAAACAGCTTCCATTTAAGATACCTTGTTATAGAATTGCATGCATCCTTTGCATCGAAGACAGTCACATTGTGATGAGCTTAGTGAAAAGCTGTGTATAGGTTTTTTTTTTTTGCAGTATTGAAAAGGTTTAATATAAACTAGTTCAATCTTAAAAATAGACTTTTTAACAATGCATGTAGATTATCAAGTCAAGAACATGCTAACATCAAACTGTATTGGAATCAACTGTAACAATGTTCAAGTTAGTAAATGTACTTTTTATATATAAAAAAAGAAGTAAAAACCCAACATTTAGTCAACATTAACATTTTAATTGGACTAAGTTTCAATATAAAGCAAAAATCATGTATAAGAGACAACAAAACAATAAAAGTAATTTTAAGGTAAACTTACATGAAAACTTAGGAACTGAATTAATTAATTGAAAATTATTAACTCAATATATTGTGAAAATCTATGTTGTATTTAACATAATAATACTTAACCATAAAATATTAATCAATTTCTTTTTTAAGAGCAACCTTATTTATGATGGAAACAGACAGTACAAAAAGTCCTCGAGTCATGCTTCATGATTATTTTGATTATATTTAAATTTTGGCTAATGAAGATAATTTCAAATCAGTCACTATGAGGCAGTGTTAAGTATTTAATTGATATACTATTATTGTTTTTGTTAATATTTTGAATAAAATTTTTTATATATATTCTGTTTTCACCATGTATAAAACATTTTATGAAAACACAAATTACTAAAACTTTACAATTCGTTTTTATAGATTTATGTTTTAGTTTTATTTATTTTAGTACATCAAGGTAAATAAATTAAAATGAGAAATGTTGGCAACTTGCTGAAGTAAGTTTTCATACATATACATACATACATATAGTTTTATTTAATATAAATTGAACATCATTTGCCTTAGAAGATAGACATTAGACATACACTAGTGTTTGGAACAGAGCCTTTGTGTCCATGGCAGATCTCAGTCACTGAGCTTTGGGTTCAGTCTCTCTTGACATTCAGCTGTGATCATGAGGTAATGTGGTAATGGGCAGGTGTTCATGGTGGGTTGCATGCATGCAAAGTCAATGCATATGAGTGTGTGAGAGGACCTCCTAAATCGTAAGTATATAATGATGTGTGTGTGTGCATGGAGCATGCGCTCGCTCTCTCAGTCAGTCACATGTGTGTGTGTTTGTGGATCAGAGGAGATGGAGTTTTCTTCTAAACATGGGTTGGTATATTCAAGAATGAAAACAAAACATTTGCATATTTCCGTAATGCAAATGTTGCATCACACCACAAGGGGAGAATTTGCATATAAACCAGTACAACTCATTTGAATATATTAGTGATATTTTTCAGTGGAGTCTGTAACAAAATGAGTTTATCGTCCATGTTTGAATGTGTAAATGAATTTTGGTGTTTAATACATGCAGAGCTTATCTGTATTGGGAAAAGAGATTCCTGCTCTTGCCTGACTGATGAAACAAGAGTGTTTAGACACGATAGATCAGTTTTATTCACATATAAACTTGTATGAGATGATTTTTCTTTCTTTCTTTTTTTGTTTTGTTTTAGCAAAGATGCATTTATTTGATCAGAAGTGACAGTAAAGACAGTTATAATGTTACAAAAAATATATTACATATAAATGTTGTTCTTTTGAACTTAATATTAAAAATGATCACTGTTTTCACTAAATACGAAGCAGCACAACTGTTTTCAACATTGAAAATAATGTTTCTTGAGCAGCGAATAATTTCTGAAGGATCATGTGACTGAAGACTGTAATAATGATGCTAAAAATTGAGCTTTGATCACAGAAATAAATTACATTTTAAAATATAATTAAATAGAAAACAGTTATTTGAAATTGTAATAATATTTAACAATATTGCTGTTTTTACTGTATTTTTGATCAAATAAATGCACAATGCAAACTTTTGAACGGTACTGTAAATACATAATTGTTATAGCCAAGTATTTATTCAAAAAGATTGACAATGGTTTCTGACAAATAATTGACAACTAATTTCACTGCAAAAACAAAATTGCCTTCATTTTTTTAAGTTTTGTTTTTCAGTAAAAAAAAATATTTTAAAAATGTAAACAAAATAAACTTACTTAAGAAGAAGAATATAAGTTCAGTCTTGTTTTGAGGTAATATATCTTATTTCAGTAACACTTGATTATTTTATTTTTATTATTATTTTCTAACACTTCACCTGAAAAATTCCTTTTTTTTTTTTTGCCACTGTAGAGTTTTGAACCCAAATCTAAAACAATAGTGATCAAAGTAGCGTAGGATCGGAGGGGTGTGATGTGTAGTTTTTGGCAGAACCTCCAGGGGGTGTTTGTCCGGCAGTTATCTTTACCGTACCGCTGTCTGATTGTCTGCGCAGCTCTCATACGTGGATGTGGAGGGCAATCCGATCGGAGTGGTCCAGATGACGTTCCTGCGTTTACTCAGTGCAACGGCTCGGCAGAACCTGACATACAACTGTTACCAGTCGGTGGCTTGGCACAACCAGGACCTGGACTCTTACGATAAAGCCATCCGCTTCCTGGGTTCCAACGATGAGGAGATGTCTTACGATAACAACCTGTACATCAGAGCCGCCGTCGACGGATGTGCAGTAAGAGCCGGAAATACTTGCTGAATTCAGAACTGCATACTAACGTACTATTTCAACCATAAAAATACATCGTAATATTATGCGGTTCTGAATTGTGAAGTCGTTTTTAGCAAGTTTAAACTGAAAACTCTCACAAGCGATGTTCATAACGCTTCCTTTCTTTCCTCCCGCAGTTGAAAAAGGGTTATGAAAAGACTATTCTTGAGATCAACACACCGAAAGTGGAGCAGGTACCATTTGTTGACATTATGTTCAACGATTTCGGCGGAGCAACGCAGAAGTTCGGCTTTGAGGTCGGACCGGCCTGCTTCATCGGCTAAGACTGCTCAGCGAGCACGCGCGAACAAAACATATTCATTTTCTCCGAAAACAAAACACAAGAAAGAAATAGGATGACTTATTTGTAAAGTTTTGTGTTTCCAAACAAACCCAACAGATAACAAAGTAAGGATAAAAGAAATTTGAAGAAAGAATGGATGTCCAAACAATGGGTTCTTATAACAGAGCAACCTTTTTAACCTCAGTGTACCCTCTGCATCACATGCAAGTTTTGAAACTGGATGAGGTCATCACTCATGACTCTCCCAGCCCTGCTCACTTTACACTCATCCGACTCTTCGCCCCTCCCACAGGCTGTATAGACAGATTAGATCCTTCCTTTTATTTCCCTCCAGTTCTTGGACTTGTAGCTCTATGCACATACGAGAAATCTTTTCCGTAGGTTTGTTTGCTTGGGTTTTATGTTGTTCCTCTTTCCACTTCTAAGCTTTGTTTTTTGTGCATACTTGTCTTCCATTCCCTGGAATGGTGATTATATATATAAATATATATAAATATTTTTTTCTATGTTTGCAAGTACTTTCTGTATATTTTTTTTCCGGTGAAGTGTTTTTTTTTTTTTTTTTTTTTTTTGTTCTA